ATATAGTTCTGCCTAGTCTAAAATCGCACGCGCTGACCCATATATTTTAAACTGCAAACGGACTCCAGTCACTTAAAATATTGCAACGTCGATAGGACTAATTAATTGGAAATAAGAAACGAAAGAATACAATTAAACGAGGAGAGAATCATTTTCTAATTTAATGGCGGGACATTTATAAAGATCACAAGCTAAAAGGCACGGAGTGATCCTATCGACGGGGGGTTAAATCAGCGCTGCTGGAGGCGGGGAGCGGCCCCGGCCCCGCTCCCATCACCGCCCCCGCGCAGAGCCGCGCCCCGGCCCGCGGAACCCCGCGCCGTGCCCTCAAACACGCGGGGATGTTTTATTAGCCCCCATTTCCTAACGATAATTTATTGCGATAAAACAGACACACGAGGTCCTCTTAAATTGTCTTTTTATAATGAATAAATTTAAACTGGCTAATTAATATATAAACTAAGCCGATTTGTCAGATTGATTTGTATTTTAGTTAATTGTGAAAGTAATTACCACACGGGCAAATTAACAGCTTTCTGGAAATGACCAAGGCAGGGTTTTTATTTCCTTCCTGGGTGAAGAAAATTCATTTTTCCCAGCTCTTGATGTGATGAATAAAAGTCATAAATCTGGGTGATTGGTGCAGGCAGAGTCTAAATGGCTTCATATTTCATTTTAGGTTTAATAGAAATATTCATGCTCTGTTTTAATGAAATTAAATTGAAGGGGGGTGGACTGAGAGGCTGTCGGTCGGGCTTAAAGGGGCAGCGCACTCTGGGTGGGCTTTTTGTTGTTTTCCTGTGGATGAACAAAACCTGTCCAGCCTTCGTTATTCCAGACAAACCGCGACTGATGCGGGAATTGCAGCGGTAGCAGGAATAAATTTTAAATTTTTGTTTCATATTATCTGAAGAGCAGGTCTAAAGCAATCCAGGCAAAACTTTGGAAGATGGCTTGTAGGGAATAAAAAAAGGAAACAACCAAAAAACATCTAGGTAAAGTACCCCGGGCTCCTAAGGCATGGCCAGGTTTTTTGTCCAGATGTGGGGTCTGAGGTGAAGGCAGGGCTTTGCAGACCGGCCCCTCTCTGCAGCTCGGAGATTTGGAGTGCATGAAATGCCCTTTCCCGGGAGGGACGGGCGGACACGATCGCCCCCCGAGCCCCCAGGAGGGGAAAGGCGCTGGTGGAGACCCAGAGCCTTTGGGACCTGCCCGGAGCCCTCCCGGCAACCCCAACTTCTTTGCCGGACGAAAGGAACAAGTTTGCTAAGGCAGAGGCATTTTCCAAGTGTCCGAGGATGCTGATCCAGCTGATCCCAGCCCCTCTCCCCACAGCAGGGCCCGGGGCAGCCCCGGCGCGGGAGCCGCCGGCAGCCGGGGCCGCTCCGTAATGGATCTGATCTGTGACTTGTTGATTTCCCCTGAGCAAATACGGCTTTGATGCAGTCCCGGCGAGAGTGGTTAGCTGATGAATTGACAAAAACTAATCAGCTTTATTGGGAAACAGGTTAAGGGCAGCAGAGTGTCAATAATTCTCCGCCTGACCCCCTCATCCATTAGGAGAGGCAGCTGATTAGACCGAGAAGACCCTATGCTTTTTGCACTGAAATTGCTTTCATAAACTCACCATTATTAGCAGCCAATGCAAGCGGCTAATTTAGAGGAGACATCCCGAGGATGTCACATTTATCAGGGAGGTTTATGTATCATTATCTCATTTACAGAATGTCGCAGTGTAATATGTGTTTTTGGCAATATCGCTGGCCCGCGCCTGCGGTTTGTAGCGGATCTGGGGAAATCGGGGGAGTTAATTCGGAAAAATTTGCGACACCCCCATGGCAGGGTCCGCTGTTCCCACCGGGATTTACCCCTGCGAGCACCGCCCCGGGTTTTCAAAAGGCGAGATAGGATCTGTTTGCCCTCGGCCGGGCAGCGGGGGCTCTGCTGAAAGGGACCACCCGGAGGTGTCGGGCAGCGAGCTCCTTGCGCTATCTCCGAGATAACCGCGCATTGTTGGCTCCCGGGCAATACACTGGATCAACACAGGTGCGGGAGCCGCGGGGAGTTCAGCGGGCCCGGATGCCCTGCGGCACCTGTGGGGACAAACACACGGAACGGAACGGTGCGGGGGAAGGAAAAAAAAGGCTTTAAAAATTGCGAAAGGAAAGGAAAGGAAAGGAAAGGAAAGGAAAGGAAAGGAAAGGAAAGGAAAGGAAAGGAAAGGAAAGGAAAGGAAAGGAAAGGAAAGGAAAGGGATTTAAAAATTGTACTCTTAGGAAAAAAAAAAAAAAAAGTCTGAAAATCGAAATTCTTCTCCAAACACTAAATATCCATCAGCCAAAAGATGCAACACCCGGCCCGAAGGCGCGGGGTGTCCAGACGGGGCGGCCGTCCCAATCGCGCCCCCGGGTCGGTGATGTACCGGGGTCAGGGGACCATGCGACCCCGGTGCTCGTTCCCCACCAGCCGGCCTCGCCTTCTGCCCCATCGCCGCCGGGAGAAGCGCTCACGGCACCGCCCACCCTCCAGCGCTGCCAGCCGCTCATCCCTCCGGGACCCCCGAGCGCAGCGCTGCGCCCACGGCTCCCTGCTCACACCGGATGGCTTCCCCTGTAGGTCGGGCCCTCGTCCCCAAAACTGTCCCGAGAAGGGGCTGCACGCTGTGCCCAGAGCAGTGTCCCTGCGTGCGGGACAATCCGCAGCCTCCACGGGCCCGACAACACCGACCCGGGCATCGGGAACCGGCACCGGCCCTGCCCGGGGCGCCCGCCGTTGACAGCCGCGCCCCCGTGCCCAGCGGGGACATTGGAGGGGGTGGCCCTCACCCCTGCGGGGCCGGGGCGCGGGAAGGAGGGGGTGCGGGTCCTCCACCCTCCTCCTCCTCCGGAATCTGTCCCAGGGTCAGGGGCCGGGCACTCGCTGCTCTGGGGCTGCCAGTGCGAGGGGCCAAAGTGACGCTCAATGGGAAACGCGGGGCCGGTGGGGATGCCAGGGGGGACGGCCGCGATCCCAGGTCCGGTCCCTGGGGCCTCCTCAGCCCCCGGACAAAACCGAAGCGGCTCATTTAAACCATCCTGCGACTCGATGTCCCCTCTCCATCCCAGCGAGCGGGGTGCACTGAGGTTTGTGCGGCTGCGGGTCTCGGCCTCAGCCCCCGCGGTGTGTGCGGGCTGTGCCCGCTCCTTGCTGGGCTCTCCCGGGCGGCGGCGGCTCTGCGGGAGCATCCCCGGGGCCCGCGGGCTCCGTGTGTGTGTGTGCGTGTGTGTGTGTGTGTGTGTGCGTGCGTGTGCGTGCGGCTCTGCCGTGCCACGCGTGTGCATTGTGCCAGGCCCGTGCACGGGTGTGCCCGTGTGCCTGCTGCAGTTGTGTCTGCATGTCTGTCCCGCTTGTGTCTGTGTGTCTGTCTGCCGTGCCAGTGTGTCCGGAGGCTCTAGCGAGGTCAAGGTGGGGGGAAAGTGCAAGGGAAAAGGGGAATATGAGGGCACTCAGCAAAGGGTTCCTTGTCTGTGTGAGTGCACACCCCTCAGATGCGCTCCGGGCCTCCCTCCCACGGAGCAGTGTCAAAGAGACAGAGCCAAAGTTGTCAGATATTTTGTTGGTTGTGTCTGACTCTGTTTCTCTTCTCCATTTTCCCCTTTCTCCTTTTCTTTCCCCCTTTTCCTCTCCTCTCTTCGTTGCTTTTACTTTTCCCACCCCAGGGGCAGGGGTCGGGAGGGACAGGACACCCTTGCTGTGGTGTCCCCGGCCCCCCTGGGGCACAGCCCCACTGCCCCCGGTGCGGAGCGGCCCCTCCCGGGGATGGAGCCGCGATTTGGGCATTTCCCGCGGACGAGACCCCTCTCCACGGGGGAGAACTTTGAAAGGAGAACGTGTTTGTCTTGGCAGCGCTTCGTGCCGTGGCCTGACCTTTCGCTCACACTGCCGGGCCCCCCCGGGGAAGCGGGACCCGGGTAAGGAGAGACCCCTCGCCCCGCTCTTTCCCTTTTCTGTCCCAGGCTGTTTGCCTTAGATAAGCAGGTGTAATAAGGCTGTTGACAGACCCGGGATTTGGTGGCAGGGTGACTCCCTGACCCGCAGGTGTTTATTCTTTCCGACTCGTTAAAAAGCGGCCGGCGGCGCGTTTACGGCAAATATTTACCGGGTGCGGGAACGGTGGGAAACTCTCATTGGACGCACGGCGGAGCCAGCGGAGAGCCGCACGTTGCCGTGCCTGGGAGGGTTCTCTCCGTGGGGAGCAGCCGGCTCCCCATGGGTGTCCCGGGCTGTGCCCCTCGGGTGTCCCAGGTTATCCTCATGGGTATCCCGGGCTGTCTCCTCGGGTATCCCAGGCTGTTCCCCACAGATATCCCAGGTTATTCCCTCGGGTGTCCCGGGCTGTGCCACTCAGGTGTGCCGGGCTGTTCCCCATGGGCATCCCAGGTTATCCCCTCGGCTGTCCCGTGCTGTCCCCCGTGAATGTCCCAGGCTACCCCCTCGAGTATCCCGTGCCGTCCCCCATGGGTATCCCGGGTTGCCCTCCATGGATATCCTAGGCTGTCCCCCATGGGTATCCCAGGCTGTTCCCTACAGCTGTCCCAGGTTATCCCCATGGGTATCCCGGGTTATCTCCTCGGGTATCCCAGGCTGTTCCCCACGGGTGTCCCAGGTTATCCCCCTCGGCTGTCCCGAGCTGTTCCCCTTGGGTATCCTAGGTTATCCCCTCGGCTGTCCCGTGCTATCCCCTCGGGTATTCCAGGTTATTCCCTCGGGTATCCCGGGTTATCCCCTCGGGTATCCCGGGCTGTTCCCCGGTGCCGCCGCCCGCAGCGCGGTTCTCGCGGAGGGGGCGGGCGCTCGGCGGTGACGGGTGTGCGGCGCAGCCAATGGCGAGCGAGGCCGCAGCGGCGCGGGGCCAATGGGAGCCGCCTGCGGCCCTTGAAGGGGCGCGCCGCGGAGCGCGGCCGCACTGCCGCCCGCCGCCGCCGGGAGACGCGGCCGGCCCGGGGCAGCCGCACGCTCCCATGGAAAAATCCAAAAATTTCCGCATCGACGCGCTGCTGGCTGTCGATCCCCCCAAGGCGGCGGCGGCGGGGCAGAGCGTGCCGCTGGCCCTGGTCACCTCGCTGGGCGGCAGCGGTAGTAGCAGCAGCGGGAGCGGCAGCCCTCCGTCCTCGTCCTCCTCTTCCTCGTCCTCTTCATCCTCCTCCGAGCACCCCTCCGGCGGCCCCGCCGACTGCCTGCGCACCGACAGCCCCTCTCCGCCGCGCCTCCTGGCCGCGCACTGCGCCCTGGTCCCCAAGCCCGGCTTCCTGCCCGGGGCGGGCTCGGGCTCGCACCCGCACCACCCCGCCTCGGCGGCCGGCATGGCCCTGGGACTGCACCCCGCGGCGCCCGGCGGGCCGGGCATGCCGGCGCAGGCGGCCCTCTACGGGCACCCGGTGTACGGCTACTCGGCGCTGGGCGGGCAGCACCCGGCGCTCTCGTACCCCTATTCGCAGGTGCAGGGAGCGCACCCCTCCCACCCCGCCGCCGACCCCATCAAGCTCAGCGCCGGCACCTTCCAGCTGGACCAGTGGCTGCGGGCCTCCACCGCGGGCATGATCCTGCCCAAGATGCCCGACTTCAACTGTGAGTATCTGCCTCCCTCCGCACCGCATCCCTCCATCCCCCGCCCTGCCGGCAGCTGCCTCCTTCCGAGGGCGTAGAAGCCCCTCCTGCCCCCCTAAACAAGCTGCGGATGTAAACCGGAAGAGACGCTTTTATTTTTTGGCAAAATTTATGTTAGAAGAAAGAAATAGCGCTCGGCGATGGGAAACGGGGGTGTGCGGTCACATCGCCATTCCCCGCCCTTGAGGAGTCCCGGACAGCCTGGGCAGGTTAAATGGGAAGGTGACAAATTGCTCCCTGCCTTTGCAAATGCCCTTTCCCGCTGTTCCTGGAGGGTAGAAGCCGCCGGGGAGGGGAGGTGGGAGTTGGTCAGGGGCCAGGGCAGGGGCAGGAGTCCTTACAGTGTCCCCAAAACCCCACTCTCAATGTAACCCCCCAAAAGAGAGGTGGCAGGTCGCACCACTCACTCACCGTTCTTAATTCTATTTCTTCTTTATCAGAAATGGGAGTATAATAACGATGCCAGGCCTCCCAGGCAAAGGGATGTTGGGAGGATCTGGGATCGGCCAAAAACTTGGGGTTCTGCGTTCCCTGGAGACAACGAATAGGAAAGAAGTGCGGTGGGAAGGGTTTAGATCTGGGCCCAGGAAAGGCCGGGAATGCTGGATGGAGCCCCGGAGTCCCAGCAAAGCGCCGTGCCGAGCTCTGGGCCTCGCGGCGATGGGGAACTTGCATCTGGTTTAAGCAAAGATCATTTTCGGAGGTGTGAGCTCTCGGTGGGAATGGCCGGTTTAACAATACCGGAGGTGTAGTTTTACGAAAATCATGCCAGGAAAAGAATTGCGATTTTTTTTTTTTTTCCTCCCCTTCTCCTGCTCGGCACACACATTCGCAGACAAAAAAGTCCATTGTTTTCTCTCGGATTGGGATTGTTTAGACTGGAACATTCAAGAAGAAAAAATAATTAGGGAAGCTGTTAGAATCCTGCCTCTCAAACAAGGGGCAGAGGGGAATAAATAACCAAGCAAAACGAGCCTCGGAAAATCGCACCGCGGTGACAAAATCTCCCGGGCGCTGCGGCCGGGAGCGGACACTGTCCTATTCTTCCTGCAGCTTTAGCGAGCTGTCTCCAACCGTGGCCGGGGAGCAGAAGCCGCCCTTTCTCAGATTTCTTTTATTTTTCTAAACCGAATAAGCCAAAGTACCCAAATAATTTGAGAAATGGGCAGTAGCGCTGCCGGGTCGCATGCCCAGGGCTGTCAGGGCCTTCAAAGAGGCTCAGTTCCCGCTTTCTCGTGGATGAAATTTTCTGTTTTGTTTTGCTATTTTTCCCCCTCTCTAATAAACTCTTAGTTTTAGTTATTTTTTTAATGCGGAAAACACGCTTTTTTTTTTTTTTTCTCCCCCCGCCCCCGTTTCCAATACACTTTTCTAGTCCTCGCTGATGATTTACGCTCCGAGGGGCAGCCGGTGCAGGGCACGGAGCGGCCCCGGTCTCGGTCCCGGTTCCGGCCTGCAATCCCGCTAATTAAACGGATATGGGCGGGCAGGGAGTGCGGCAGGTTTAACTAAAACATTAAATGGAGCAAATTGCCTCTCCCCGGAGAGCCCCGTGCCCCTGCGCCGCGATCCCTGCCTTGGGTTTATTGTCTCGCGTTTGTTGGGCTCTTGGGAAATCAAGAGACATATTTTCCTTTATTTAAAAGATTTAATTTAATTCCTTTTTTTTTTTGGTCCCTGTGGGCGATTCCCCTGACACGGCGGGAGCCGGGAAGCCCCGGAGTCAGGGAGGCGACCCCCGGTGGATGGTGCAGCCTCGCTCAGCCTTTCCCGCTTCCCGGGGGGATGCGCGGCCGGGGCTGGGCGGCTCCGCGCTCACCTCCCGCTCCCCCTTGTCCTTCCCAGCCCAGGCGCAGTCCAACCTCCTGGGGAAGTGCCGCAGACCCCGCACGGCCTTCACCAGCCAGCAGCTGCTGGAGCTGGAGCACCAGTTCAAGCTCAACAAGTACCTCTCCCGGCCCAAGCGCTTCGAGGTGGCCACGTCGCTCATGCTGACCGAGACGCAGGTGAGTGAATGTCCCCGGTGCCAGGCTGGCCGTGGGGGCAGCCCCGGCGGGCGGTGGATGAAGGGGAGTTTTGTGTCCCGTGTCCCCCAGGTGAAGATCTGGTTCCAGAACCGGCGCATGAAGTGGAAGCGCAGCAAGAAGGCGAAGGAGCAGGCGGCGCAGGAGGCCGAGAAGCCCAAGGCGGGCGGCGGCGAGGACAAGGGCGATGAGGAGCTGCTGCTGCCCGCCCCCGAGAAGAGCGCCGGCAGGAGGATGCGGGAGCTGCCCGACAGCGAACCTGAGGACGAGGAAGACGAGGAGGAGGAAGAGGAGGCGGCGGCCGGGAGATGCTGCCCGTACCACTCCTCCGACTGCTCCGAGGCGGACGAGGAGGACACGCAGCCCCGGGCCCGGCACGGAGCCCCGGCGCAGCCCCAGTGAGCCCCGCGGGTCCGGCTCCTCCGGCCGAGCCGCCGCTCCCGGCTGACACCGATCCCGCTCCCGCCTTGTTCTGATTTCTCCCTGCTTGGAGAGGGATGGAGAAGAAGATCCTCCGCATGCCGGGCGGGGAAGAGGATTTATCGTGAATACAGTGTTATTATTGACTGAAAACCAGACAAAACTTGAGCTCCCTCACCCCCCACCCTTGCCCCCTGGAAGCGCGTTCCTTTCGCTGAGTATTGGAAATGTTTTGTTCTTACTATATATCGGGAAATCTGTTTATGTCATGAACGTTAAAACTGCTGGGAATCTCAATACTGTCTTTATTTTTGTATATCATATTTATAAAAAAAAAAATTGCCTCTACTTATGCATGCTAAATTATTCCCCAGGTCCTCCCACCCGTGCGACGGTGGGGAGAAAATAAACGGCGTTTTTTACTGGAGGTGTCCGAGCGCTGTGTGAGGGGAGGATGCTCACAGGTCAGGGTCTCCTGGTGCTTTGGGAGGTGCCAAAAACGATCGGGAGGGAGCCGGGAACCGCTTCCTAATCGGAATTTAGCCCGGTGCCACAGCTGCCGTGTTATGCCTGATATTTAGAGGGTATTTCCGAGAGGAGCGCCTCAGAACAGGGTGAGCTGCCCCGGTTACAGCGCTGGGGGTGCCGGGGGTGCGGCGGCGCTCCTGCCCTGCGATGCTTTGGGAGCTCGGGGAATGGCCTAGGCATCCCCTCCCAAGGGAATGGGGCCTGGAAAAGGAGGGAGCAGCGCTGCTTTCCCGGGGAAGCTCGATTCCCAGAGGAGCGATGCTCTCCCGTGCCCGCCCCGGTACCGAGGACGGGAGCCCCGGCTCCCCGCCCCGCCGGCGCTGGAGCGCGGGGGTTTCGATGCCCGCGCCGTTTATCTCGCCAATAAATTCGCGGATCAATTAATCCCTGTCACCGCGGCTCTTCCCCAAATCAATTATAGCGAATTTAAATATAATCACTGGCTCATCCCCACCAGCTCAGGGCCACGGCTGGCAATTCATCCCCGTGAATGAATTACAGGGAGGCTCCGCTCTGCTCCCGCGTAGGGCCGCGCAGGGAAGGACGCGGATCCCGCATCCTAGCCCCGGAGGATGAGAATGAGGAGCTCTGAAACACAGAGCTTTCCCACCCCCGTGCATTTTAAAAATAAAACAATAATAATTTTAATAAAGATATTTTCTTCAAAATCGCGTTAACCTGTCCCGTGAGGCCACAGCGTGGCCCCTCCTCACGGCTTCTGTAAAAATCTGCCCAGTGAAACTCAGGCTGGGGGGATGCATGAGATTTTGGGATGAGATTCAGGAAGGAAAATTGTTATCCCTCACGGAGAGCTTCAGGTGCCTCGGCTGGAGGTGGCATCCAGGCATAACCAGCTCTCCGGCCCCGCACCCCCCGTGCCCCGGGGCGACACGTCAAAAATCACGGTACATCAAAAATCTGAACAGATCTCATGTGTCAAAAGACTTGATCGGGATATTCTTGATTTGAGCTTGACCGATACCTAACCCCTTGAAACGATCGCGTCGGAGGCTCTGATTTAAATTTCTAAACGATTTTCTTTTGGTCGCAGGCTGTGGAGACTTGAAGGCGATGGAAAAATAAAGGTGTTAGTGTCTCTGTGGTTTTTCACGCCGCTGGCTGTGGCTGCATCCTCGTGGGTGAGCGGCCGGGCAGGAGCGCGCAAAACCCGCGCGGGGCCGCGGTGGCTCCTCCGCCCCAATCCCGGCCACACGTCCGAGTTACGGTCAGCAGGATTTACCTCTTGCTTGTACCTTACAACGTCTGAACCGTATCAGTCTGGACGACACCTTATGATCTCAAAAAAAAAAAGAACAAATTAAATATAATGCATAGTTTTTATAACAGCACCAATAAAAACATTATTATTATTATTATTAGTAGTAGTAGTAGTAGTATTAATAATAATAATAATAATAATAGTAGTGCCCGAGATCACACCCCCACCAAACAAAAAAGATCCTCCCCCAGTCATTAATTTCCAATTAAACACCCGCTAATTAAGCTGGCAGACGTGCCCCACCGGGCCAGAAATATCCTGTATGCTCAAGAGGTGTGTGTCCAGACTCGCCCCAGCCCCACGGAAACCAGCCTTGCGGGTACAGGCAGCTATTCACGGCCCCGGTATCAAAGTCCTACCGGTGCATTGTGTCTGTCTCAATAAAATTAATCTCTTTAAAGCCCAGCGTCTCACAAGAATACCTTCAGTGTTCCAGACTAAAAGGGCAAATATGTTTTTCAGATTCTGTTTTTATGGACGGATTAAAGTTTATTTTCCATAATAGGGCACCTAATAAAACTCATAAAGCTCTGTCAGTCTTACAGCTGGTGGCCTCATTTAACACTTTCACTTCGTAAATCATTTTACAACTTACCAGGTGTTTCCAAAACTGAAAGGAAAGGAGGGGGAGAGAGAGAGAAAGAGGGAGGGGGAGAGAAATTAAACTCACTTAAAATATAGATACGCTCCTTTAGCGCTGGGTGCGTTCGCATTGTCGCTTGGAAGGGCTTCAAAGAAGGTGTCGGTCCCAACGGGGGAGAAAAACCTTTTAATCAGGATTTCCCACGCTCTTTTGAAGTGCGGAGGCTCGTCCCCACGTGCAGGGAAAATCAAAGGCTCGGGGCGATTAGCGGGGCCGACACCGTGTGCGACACGCTCCGAGCTCCGCGCAGGGAGCGCCCGGCCCGGGGGGCTCCGAGCTCCGGGCAGAGAGAGCCCGGCCCGGGGAGCTCCGAGCTCCGAGCTCCGCGCAGGGAGTGCCTGGCCCAGGGAGGCTCCGAGCTCCGCGCCCGCTCTCGAAGCGTCCCGGGCGGGGATGGCTCAACCGGGGGGCCCAGCCGGGAGGCACCGAAGGGGCCCCGATATCAGGCACGAGGCAGCTCTGCCAGCGGCTGGGGCGGAGTGGAGCTCCCTGGCTGAGCCTGCAACAGGGTCCCCCCGAACAGCTCCGGGGTGTCCCCGCACCCCCGCCCGCATCCCCCGGCCCCATTCCCGGCCCTCGCATCCCCGGCCTCATCTCCATCCCCGGCCCCCGCACCCCCGGCCCCATCCCCGGCACCCTCACCCTGCCCCAGGAGCCGCCCGCTCCCCGCCTGCCTCCCCCGCACCGACCTTCCCGCCCCCAGCCCGCGGTGCCCCGCCGGTGTGGGTGCGGTTGCTCTGCCTCAAGACCCAGCACATTTAGGGCTTTAATCTAAACTGCTGTTTGTAATTTCATTGTTCGGCCGGTTCCTTCCCCAGACGCAGTAGGTAAGAAACCTCTTAAAATTTTCATTGCCGTACTTGAGAAGTGGTAAGTATGAACGCGGAGCTTTGGTAGACATTTTGCTTTTAAAAGCAGCGTGGTTTTAGGCATGGATGTCATTAACTGGCAATTTCACAAGCATTAAGTGCTAAAACAAAAGAACCAAAACAGGATCCATATGTTCTAGGTAAACCTGCTAAAAGTCTTTCAAATGGGAAACCATAAATATATAATCTCCCCTAAACTCTCCGTGAAAGTGCTGAGAATGAAATACTCAGCTAGCACAAAGACTATTCATTATTTCGGGAGTCCAAAGTGTTAGGTCTATCCGAAACTAGGACATTCATGTTCGATTTCTCAGTGATTTCCCTGGCTCTCTAGCGGTTCTGTCTCACACTCTCACACATTCCCTTGGTGCCTGCTGCTCCCGTGGATCCTCCCAGCCTGGTTCCTGTCCCAGCTCCGAGTCCTCTGCTTTCCACCAAGGCCTGCCAGGTGTCACCAGAGATGCTCCAGGACAGAGAATCTTATCGTAGATGCCCTTCTTCCTTTCCCAAATTTCCCCTGGTGCTGAGATAACCACCCTGTGCTTCAGCTGTGAAAGCAGGAGCAGAATTTGTTAATTCATTGTTCCAGGGAGCTCCTTGGTCGGCTGTTTGAATCCCAGGAGCAACACACAGGACAAACAGTGGAAGGGATGAAGCTCCCAAGCTCCTTGGTCTCCCTTGGGTGTTGTGTAGTGACCAAATTACAATCTTTTCTGTCCCCCAAAAATGGTCAGGTCTGGTCTGGCCAGAGTTAAATACCAACTGCACATTTCTCTGAGAATTTCTCAGCAACTGTGACAAAGTTTTTATTTTTCACCAATACTCACGCAACCAGAATCACAGCAACAGTGGATTGAGGTTGCTCCATATTAAGAAGAGGTGGTTTTGTCTTTTCTGAGTATTTTTGCTCAATTTTTCTTGCCTTGAGGGTTGTGTAATATCTCTTCCAAACAGTTCTCTACAAGGGCAGTGGATCCAGGAGGTATTTACTGTCTTCTCCCTACTCTGAGGACAGAAGAACATTAATTTAACGAAGTCCTAGATGGAAATGGAGGTGCCTGTATGGAAATGGGATCACCTGCAACATCCAGGAAATCAGAATGGTTTTTCTCTCTTCACAAGCCACTATAAAATTTGGTTTTCCTCTTCCTTTTGGAGAAAAACCTGCATTTTGCTGAATTAGTCTAACTGGGACTGGTCTCTAAAATGAGTAAAGAAAAATGATGTTTTCCTCTAGTACAACTCAGCAGAGGCAGTGGTTTGCAATGGATTTTTTAGCTGCAAGGCTTAGCTCCATTTTACTACCTGCAGGATATTTGCAAGCAAATCACAATTTCCTCTAATTAATCCACTATTTTAAATTATTATTCACTGGACTTCTGTGAATGTTCTTGGCCAATGGAGCCCTTTGGCAGGTGGGACTCCTGTCTGGAGAGGCAGTATGGATGCACAATGCAGGAGTTCCTGGTCCAGCTCCCTCCTCTCTTCCCGCTCAGAGGAGATGGGGACAGAGAATTCCTGTCCCCATCCAGCCCTGCTTGGCTGTGGGTAATAATAACAATAAAATATCCATAAATAATGATAAAAAACCAGCAGCCAGCATGGATTTTGATATAAGGCTGGGGCAGGGGAGTGATCTCAATTTAGAACACCTCAAGGGATG